GTGTTAATTGTTCTCATGTTGTGTTATCGATATTTTGTATGTATGTGTGCTTACAAAATTAACCCCTAAAAACTTTACAATTGGTTTATAAGTATCATGAACAATTGGTAATTCTACTCAAAGAATAATTTATCACAGAATAACAGAAATCTATGAAAGCAATGAAGACTGAAATACACTAGACATTTGCCTTATTGTTAGTAATGTCCAAGAGTCACTACGTCAATTAGCAAGTCTACTATCGTTTAAACATTAGGGTAAAGTTGAACCGTAAGGGCAAGCCAACAAAGGATAAGCACATCTTTCCAAGATCACGGCGTACATATTAATACAGAATATTTCAAATCGTTCGCAATATGCATGATCTCACTGAAATGTTGCCTTACATCAATTATATTGTAAACAATCTCATTCACGAAAGCATCTTACACTATTTATAGTGTATTAGGTTTCTAGGACTAAGAATTGGGATTTAGGTTTTTAGTTAGGATCTAGAACCAGGGTGCGTGTAGGCTAATTCAATAACTTAATGCCAATCCTAAAACCTAATCTTAACTCTAGCCCTAAACTCTACATTCGGACCATAAATCTTAATTCTAGAGCGTAAGTACTCGACCTAACACTGTAAACTACTGTTTCATATTTCTGTTTTTAAAAAAAGATTCAACTAATTTACAATACCATTAAATCATTAATCTATGCTAACGATGATTAAAATCTATCGTTGTTACTGATTTCATACTGAAAAATTAGAAACAAACTACAAATTGTTAAATGAATATTGTTGACACACACAAACTGACCAATGTTAGACAACCATTAAGAACCTGGAAGTAATGTACAGATATTTAGTTCTATCATAAGACTCCTCAGCAATCAGTATTAACAACTCCGTAGCCGGAAGTCGAATCCACCATATTCAGTTTCGAGGTGGTAAGTAAATTAAATTTCAACCAATCTACAATACTCTACCTAACCATCTTCTATTATCTTCGATGGGTGACCTTCATCACACCCGATACGGCTGAATATCACTCATTGGTCATAGTTATTTACGTTGAATGAATTGTCAGCGAAACCAACACTAATAGAATGAGGAATTCTTATCATGAAAATAAAAATAGAGAAAAAAATCTATTTCCCAGAAGAGAAAACCATTTTAGAGTAACTGTATCATTTATCTATTTGTTTATATTGTTCCTATGGGTTAACTTTTAATCCAGTTTATTTTTAAAGAAAAAACAAAACAACATTACTGTTGCCATCACATGATATAATCTTCTTTTTGTTTTCTGTCTTATTTCTCTGTTTACATGAATGTGTATTGAATGAACAAAAGTAGAAAGATATATGTCTTGTATAGTGTGTGATTAGAGTAGATGAATATAAGTAGTAAATTGATAATTATTAATATAATAATTTCATGCATTTAGTTTGAATAGAAGGTCAATTAGTCAGTTGATCGACTAGATCATGAAGACGACAACATCTGAAGGGAAGTACGGGATACAGTGGACATTTAGGATGAAGCTGGATGATCTAGACTTCGCAGATGATCTAGTTCTTTTATCGCACACGTAACAACAAATGCAGGAGAAGACGAACAGTGTAGCAGTTGCCACAGCAGCAATAGGTCTCAACAAACACAAAGGTAAAAGCAAGATTTTCCGATACAACACAACATGCAACAATCGAATCACAATTGACAGAGAAGATCTGGAAGATGTAAAAAATTTACATATTTGGGCAGCATCATTGATGAACACGGTGGATCTGATGCAGATGTGAAGGCGCGGATCGGCAAAACAAGAGCAGCTTACCTACAAATGAAGAACATTTGGAACTCAAAACAACTGTCAACCAACACCAAGGTCAGATTTTCCAATACAAATGTCAACACAGTTCTACTGTATGGGGCGGAAACTCGGAGAACTACGAAAGCCATCATTTAGAAGATACAAGTGTTTATTAACAGTTGCCTGCACAAAATACTTCGGATCCCTTGCCAGACACTATCAGCAATAACATATTGTGGGAGAGAACCAGATCCCAGCGGAGGAAGAAATTGGGAAGAAGCGCTGGAAGTGGATATGACATACATTGAGGAAAGCACCCAACTGCGTCGCAAGACAACCCCTCACATGGAATCCTCAAGGTTAAAGGAGAAGAGGAAGGCCAAAGAAAACATTACGTTGAGAAATGGAGATAGATATGAGAGGAATGAACAAAATTGGATAGAACTAGAAAGGAAGGCCCAGGACAGAGTGGGTTGGAGAATGCTGGTCGGCGGCCTATGCTCCATTGGGAGTAACAGGCGTAAGTAAGCAATCAACATAGAGACTGGTATAAATGTGAATCAGTACAATTTATCACATTGTATCACTACAATAACATCAATTTAAGTACTGGAATATCAATGGAGTCATTACTATGGTAGTGTAATGAACGAAGACTTGAGTACGATAAACCAAACTATTCTATAAAGTAAAGTCACCCATTGCACTTGTAAAATATGAAAACACGACATGTACATCTTCTTTAAGTTGTCCCTTACAAACTTGATCATTCTTCAATTCCTGTTGTTATTTCGACTGTTTCCTGTTTTTTCCTTTCTTTTCTCTTCACTTCTTTTATTATGTAAATTTCATGTGATACACAAATTGACCCTATCATTCAGTCGTAACATCAAATCATTAATTCTTACAAAAGCTTTAACGGAGAGTAATGTGTAGACTCTTAAGAAATTATTTGAGCCCTTATAAGTAATTGACTACAATTTCTTACATTATCATCCCAACACATTTTAAAATGTTTTAACAATATGTTATCTTAAAGAGATCAAGAACAAGGATTGATGCAGAATAATAAATGGATCCATTTTTATTTCGTTAGGTTCTCATCAGCTACTTACTACTTAAAGTATTTGAAATTCAACCTTATTATAGATATTGACATACTTATACAACAGAGGGCAATGAAGGATGAATAAATGTGTATCATGATGTAGCGAAGATTTCGTTAGGGTTAGTGAGGTCATAAAATGCTTTGTTTAGAATATACGGAATTTGAAAGGGAAGGTTCCAGATCATTGAGACAGTGATTAGAAGTCGTGGAATTAAAACACATGTTAGATGATTATGCAATGAAATAACTGAAAATAGATTAATGGTAATAAAGAGAGATGTGAATTGAAATTGGTCAGTTATGAATGATGTAATTATGAAATTCAGAAAGAGTTGGAATGACGTAATAAAAATAAAAGGGGATGGGGTGAATGTTACCAGGGTAAAGAAAGATTTATTACTGTCTCTTTTTGTATACATAGATCTGGTTTTAAACGTTTGATTGCTATTGCTTCGGCGAATTTCAAAAGGTTTGAATTTGATTGTTTGTTGATCACCTTGAAGGATTTCAGCATATCGACTTCGTGTCCTGTGTTAAGGAGATGTCGTGCGATAGCGCTGCTGAATGATTTTTGTCCGTTTGATCTCAAACCCTTCGGAATATGTTCTTTGAATCGGACGTAGGCTCTCCTTTCTGTTCTACCAATGTAACTGCTTTGGCAGATACATGTAAATTTGTATACACAGTTGGTGGTAACATGAAAGGGATACCTGTCGACCTTTGATTGTGTCAAAGAACATGTTGTTTTGGGTAGGACAATCAATTTAGCTGCAGGATAAGTTCTTGTCAGTGCAGTTTTTAGTCTAATATTGATTGACCCTGTGACATTATCACTTTTCTTATAAAAACACATGGAATGGGATTTATCTCAATTTCAACAGCTTTTGTCCAATCAATTATAAAAAGGCACTTGTCAAAACATTGTTTGACAGAACAGAAAGAATATGTACTACTGATACAATAAAAGAGGACGTTATGAATGTTAAAAAGTGTTTAAGGAATAACGGATACCCATTGAAATTTATTGAGAAATATGGAAAATGTGAAGATAAAATACCCAAAGAAACTACAGTAAATAAAAAACCTGTTTTTATTCAACTCAAATTCAAACCTGGAAGTAATGGACAAACGTTTCATCACAGTATGAGACTCCTTACCAGTGCGTATACACAACCTCAAGAACTGGAATCGACCCTGGGACCTATGATTTACCGTGCCAACGCTTAACCACTAGACTACTGACCCGCCATTATTAATATCTAACCTCAATCATACCAAAATATTAAGTAACAATCTTTCATTGTCTTTATTGGATAATTGCCTTACATCCGACGCAGCTGAACTCTATTGGTTACGACTTCTCATGGGAACTCTTGGAATTTTCTCTAGAAACTAGTCACTAGTGAGCACATGACAACTGTGAGTGTGAGATTGTGGAGATCAGCATGAAATCAGTAGAAATTGTAATAGTATTAGTGAAAATAGTGTTAAGCATTCGGAATAAGAGTAAGAAGGAATTCTCATGCTGCACAATTGTTTTAACCAATAGTCACAAAATTCCCATGGACTCTAACCAGGTAGTTTGTATCCACTGAAAATGGCTAAGACCAACAGTCAAGAATTTCATAAACTCGTATTACGTTTTAGGTTGGTTGCTTCTAGCTTTATTTTAACTTACTTTTTAAGTCATTCAAATTTACGCATCGAGATAAACGATGTTTAGTTATATACGATACATATTCTGATCACCTCAGTCGATGAAAATTCACAATCTCATTAACTTCAACATTTCTCATTTGTTAGTCCAGTTGTATACTTCAGATATACTCATGATCAACTATTAGTAACCTGAAAATATTACTTGTTCTCAATGAAGCAGAACAAATTAGGGGTCATGTTAATATACTTATCCATTTGGTTGGTAGATGAACAAATTGCCTACAATACATATATGACACAAATTGTCAAAAATCAATAAACAGAAAACACAAAATGATAATCAATGAATCTACCTCATAGTTCATTCATTCACTTATTTAAAACTATGCATATTTTATAATGGACTAAATTCTATTATATATATATATATAACTTACGATTATTCAATGGCATATCATTTGAAACATTCAATTGTTTGACATCTTGAACTAGTTGATGATTTCCTTCTTGTATTTGAAATGGAGTTAACTTCACTTTATTATTTCTGTCAACATCAATATTATTATCATCAAATTTTTCGTTCTTCTTAGATAAAAATGATGAAGATATAGAGGAATTTGAGGAAGAGGACGAGAAGGAGGAGGAGAAAGATTCACTTTTCTCTTGTACTAATCGATTTTTCATCCTATTTCTTCTGTATTCTCTAGATCTTCTTGTTTGATTGTTTTGTATTTTTGATTTTACACACTTTCTTGTCTTATTGACTTTGTTATTTCTTTTTGTTAAATTATTGTAATAATCATAATCATGATGATGATTATGATGGTTCACTGAATCAGTTTGTACTGATAAAGTTACTAAAGATTTGTTATCTTCATGGTTTAATATTACATTTGAATGTAGTGAAGTTGGTGTTGAGATGGATGTATTCAATTCCACTGGATAATTCGTTATATATTTATCATTGAACTAAAAGTTCATAGAATAAAACTGAATAATCAATATATATTTCAATAGTTGAAATCATGAGTCAATTAAATCTAGACCACCATAGAAAACCTGGAAGTACTGGATGGCCGTTTCGTCCCAGTATGAGACTCCTCAGCAGTGCGCATCCACGATCCCGCCCCCCCGCGAGATTCAAACCCAGGACCTATCAGTCTCGCGCGCGGGTGCTTAACCATATATATATATATATATATATATATATATATATATATATATATATATATATATATATATATATATATATATATATATATATATATACTATGGAATGTGTACTAAGTGGTTGGTGGTAGTTAATAGAAAACATTGAACATAAATTTTATTCTATCTGCTACTTATTAACGAAGGTATACTCTGTATTACTGAGGGAACTGATACTCTCTATGTGATTCGAGCGCATTTTATCCAACTTTACAGTCTGAGACGTTACCACTAAAGTAATCAGGGTATGACTGACCTCTTGCAAGATTGAAATATTTTGAATTACTGAACTGTAACCAATATCCTATTTGTTTATTCCTTTGTAGATGCTGAATGGGTCCTATTGTTCAAGTTCCAGTGTGGTCACTAGTCTAGGCAACTTGATGGCTACAGTTGGGTACATACACTTACTCTTTGTTTGCTCACAGATTGTGAGTTCCAAAATGATCTTATACGTTTATTTGTTCTACACATTAACTTTTTCTTCTTGAATAATTTATTCTCTGTGTAATTCACTTGTACTATTGACACTTCTACTACCGTAATATTTCATCTCTTTGCGTTGATGTGTCGTAGTACCTTGGATCTGTGAACAGACGTGTCCTATTCTACATTGCACATTACTGACTTTATGGTGCATTGATCAGAGTGGTATACTCTTATTTGTAATTTCATGATACTAACTTCTCAGTTATGCTCTCATGCCTCTGTCCGAAAATCGATCAGTGGATACAGAAATTTATTGAGTGACGTAAAATAAACGGTCTAGCTTTGCGACAGGCTGGGTCAGTCAGAGATATCAGATCAAGGTGTTGAGAAGTGCACACTTTTGGCCAAGATTTAGCTTCATTATTCGTAAAAGACAGACATTAATCCAACTAGATGATCCGAGATTGATTACAATAATCTATTGTTTAATGGAGCTATTACTCATTGATTTATGTTCAGTTAGAGCATGACAAGGGTGGACCTCGATTTAACTGAACGCATTCAAGCTTAACGAACCTAACAATAAGATAGTGAGATTACTTCAGATATCCAAAGTAGAACTAATTTACTTATGTTAGGGTTTTTTTTCATATTCGAAAACAAAAAACAAAAAAGGGGATATAGGTACATCATTCCATATAGTTAGGTCTCCGAATGTTTGACACTGGAAAAGTAACTTATAAATTAACGCAGTTAGTTTTATGACTTTAATGTAAATTGGATTGAGCGAGTCAGAATAATAACAGTAGTAGCATAGTGCATACATCCTGAATGTGAAGGTTAGTATAAACCGTTCTATTTTTACATAATGGTCAATAACCATTATTTAAAACTTGACTATAAATTATGTCATGATGGTTACTGAGCATTTGAATAAGTGACACAGACCTAGTGATATCTCATTCTGTAATCAACTCAGTGAAAGCTGTTTGTCGAATTTTCTTGGAATTCGATCGAGAAAAATCAATAAAATTGTCAGGTGAAACGCCTCATTTTAATTTACGTAACACAAGGTTAACTATCCTTTCTCAGTGTTCAATAAAAGTTCAATATCTAGCATTTTTAAGCATCTTTCTATTCTAATAGTTGAATTTATGTGTCAATTAAATCTAAATCACCATAGAAAACCTGTAAGCACTGGGCGTGGAGACGCACTGCTGAAGAGACCCATACTAGGACGAAATGACCGTTCAGTTCTTCCAAGTTTTCCATGATAGTCTACCTTTAATTGACTTATGAATCCAACTATTAAAATTACTATGATATTCACAATATCCCCTTTCTGATAATAATCTTTCTATTCGTTTAGTAAGAGTAGCATAGAAAAACATGATTATCAATGGGGCTTCCATTTCAGTTATATAGAACTATCTATAGATATGTCATCTATGGACACAATGGGTTGTAGTGCAATGTCAAAGTTTGATATAAAATCATCAGTGAAAATGATGTATTATTCATTCATTAAATAAGTAGGAAAACGCTCTAAATATGCTTGATACTATACACATGTTATATAATAAAAAATGGATAGGCTATACAGTTCATGTAAAAACCTAATAAGTAATATTAAACATTTTCAAATATTAAGAATTGTTAACTATATAAGTCAATATAAACGAAGTCATATGTCCTAGCAGCAGCAGCAGCAGCAGCAGCAGCAATTCGGAAGATTCTCTCGGTCTCCCACATTGTACGAGTATTCCATGTACCTAAATAAATGGTTGCTCTGGTTGTCAGAAGAGCGACATCGGCCTTGTGACTTCCTAAGGAACTCGGCTCTCATCATGAGGCGTCCTAGCAACATGAATATAAATATATAAATATTATCTGTTGTAATACAAATAAAATGAATTCGAAGAGAATAGTACAGATAGTTTACTGAATTTTTTTGTGTGTGTTTTTTTATTTCCAGAATCAAATACCCTCAAATATGTATTTATTTACAATATTTCTACATCATGTGACTGGTAGTCACGAGTTGCCTAGTCTACTACTACTACTACTAGTACTACTGGTAACAATAAAAAAATAATTGATTATCCTGTAACTAACAGTTAGCAATAAATACAATTATCATTTATGTACAAACGACATGAAAATGAAACTGAAGTAAACATCAACATTTTGATTTGTAAGAGTTTCAGTTATTACATAGCTGGATATTTTTTGACTGAATTTTCTGCTAGTGAAGATTGCCTTAATATAATGAATGGTATTTTATTAAAAGTATTTATAGAAGAGATAGATTATGACTGGGAATAGAATACAGGACGCGTATTTTGTCCCATTACAAAGAACTTGTCAATTGGATATACCTTCATCCTTGTGTTGACGTCCAAATTGAAACTAGAACTCGGCATTTTAAATTTCAGATTCTGAACACGTTATCTGCTCAGCTAATGGGTTTAGATAGCTAAGTAGTTAAGAAATGCAATAATGGCTTAAATCAACCCTTTAAAAATTAAGTTAAATTCATACTCTTTGTACAGGTGAGTGGTTATTCGGACTCATTAACTCAATGAAAAACATGTTAGATTCTTGAAGCGAAGAGCATTCGATTTGAGTCCTGATGTAAATATAAACATTAGGGTATAGATAGGTTTAATACCGTCATTTTCAATCGTTGGTGAAAAGCCGTAATAGTTTACTTCTATTCTGAGCACGATAAAAAGGTATTTCTGTTACTACTAACACTATATTACTTATTTAGTTTCAAGTTTTAATATGTTCGAACTATGATTATGTTATGGCTTTAAGTTGCTGTCGATTTTTACCCTGTGCTAATTGTTGTGTCCCTGACTGGAAAATTAGAGAGCAGCGTACTTATCGATCGATTACAGTGTCACGTAAACACGAACGGACGGCCTAGAGTCTCGATTGGTCTCGCTTCCCTGTCTAGCCTAGTTAGTTGAGTCCAGAACACAAGTCACAGCCTCGGAGATACGAATCATTATATTTCAAACATACTTTGTTTATATACCAATCAAGCATACTACATCGTACCATAAAAATAGAAAACAACATTTTGTACAATATTCAACAAGTGAACAGATATCGACCAATAGGAAATGTTCATTTAAAGTCCAAGGACACCATTGGACTTAACATGATAATTATTGGTCTATTCCTCTGCATCCACAACAAACTAATAGTGGAATTTATGGATACACGTTACGTTTTATTTAGAACTCGCCAATTGAGAATACTAACATTTTAGTGTTGATTTTCACTTTGGGACTCGAACATCAATAATTCTAGTTTTAAACACTCAACGCTACTGAGTTCAAACAGATTTTATAATACGACATTGAAAGAAAACTCAACTAATTCATCATTTAATGTCAGTATGTTATTTTGTTATATTTTATCATTAATTAACCTGAAAAATAACTGAATAAAGCGTAATTTAATGTAAAAATTGATTGAATAATTGAATTCATGAGTCGACTGAAGATATACGACCATGAAAAACCTGGAAGCACTGGATGGTCGTTTCATCCTAGTATGAGACTCCTCAGCAATGCGCATTCACGATCCCAGCTAGCGAGATTTGAACTTAGGACCTATCACTTTCGCGCGTGAACGCTTAACTCCTAGACCATTGAGCCGGCATCCAACAATTTTAATACTTAACTTCAACCAATCCACCAAATTGCGCCACCGTCCACCATTGTCTTAAGTGAATTACTATTCTTCAACAGACCCGGTTGAACTCCACTGGTCGCAGCTTCTCACAAGAACTCTGGGAAATAACTCTTGAAGACAGTCACTAGTGAACATATGATGATTATAATCAGAGAGGGGTGTCGTGGAGATTGTAGTTCGAATCTCGCGAGGCGGGATCCTGGATGCACACTGCTGAGGAGTCTCATGCTAGAATGAAACGGCCGTCCAGTGTTTCCAGGTTTTCCATGGTGGACTAGGTTTAATTGACTAATGAATTCAATTATTAAATTACTACAATCTCCACAAAACCCCTCTCTGATTGTAGAAATTAATGTTAATCCTTACATTATTGATTGAGATCATGAACCGGTCGATGTAAGATCAGCAATGAAAACCTGAAAGCACTGGAAAACCGTTTAGTCTTATTGTGTGACTCCTCAACCATGCGCATCCACGATCCCCCTCGCGGGATTCCAACCCAGAGCCTTCAGTCTCGCGCGCGAACGCTTGACCTCTAGACCACTGAGTTGGCATCCAATGGTGTTAATGTCTAACCTTAACCAATCCACGAAATTGCGCGACCATCTTCCATTGTACTGAGGTAGATACCTGTCTCTACCCGACACGGATCAGCTCCATTGGTCACAGCTTCTCATTAGAGCTCCGAGAATTCACTCCCTAAACTAGTCACTAGTAAGCACATGGTATTTTACAGTATAGGGTTGTGAAAATCATTACGTCCAATGCTTCCAGGTTTTCAATGGTAGTCTAACATCAATCAGTTCATGATCTCAATCAAAAACGTAATAATCTCCACAACCCTATACTGATTATCCTTACATTAATTTGATCATTTGTAAATATATAGATCCATATAAATATATGAGATAAATGGATACATTATAACTAAAACGCTCAGGATGTTTTTACTGTCTAATCTCAAAAGAGAATAAAATAGTTAGTTTCAATAAGGGATCAGTTACTAGTAATTCTGTGTTGCCAAAACTAACTAACTACAGGTACGTTGAAATTTCACCAATTAATTAATTCATTAGGTGTTTATATATCATGTTTTCCTTTTTTTGTACCATCAGTCAGTCAGTCAGCAACAACGTAGAACTTCGTACGTACGTACGTACATCAGTATTTAAGTAAACACAACTACATATTTTTAGGTAAACACAAACAAACAAACTTAATAGACATTATATTTGTATATACTTGATTAATTTCATTTCATTATTTTTCATTCAATGAGAAGATTGTTGACAAAATCAAACTTAACTAATGAGTAGTATATTTCATGATGTTACATATAATGAATTAGTAATAATCAATATAACTCAGTAATGTATTGATATATGTTAATTAAAAAAAAGAGGCTTAATTTATTGATCTTGTAAATTGTATACATACATTAAGTTACCAGGAAAAACTCCCGAAGTTCTAGTGAGAAGCCGTTACCAGTGGAGTTCAACCAGGTCTGTTGTGAGATATCAGCTCACTGAAGACAATGGTATATGGTGGCGCAACTTCGTGGATTGGTTGAAGTTAGACATTAACACCGTTGGATGCCGGCTCAGTGGTCTAGTGGTTAAGTGCTCGCGCGCGAAACCAGTAGGTCCTGGGTTCGAATCCCGCGGGGGCGGGTTTGTGGATGCGCACTGCTGAGGAGTCCCGTACTAGGACGAAACGGCCGTCCAGTGCTTCCAGGTTTCCCATGGTGGTCGAGCTTCAACTGACTCATGATTTCAATCTGTGTTATTAATTTATGCCAAGTACTGATTGTCTAGTTTAAAGCATACAAAATTGGAACCATTTGGTCAGATAAGTAAATTACATAGGACATAATATAGATTTAAATCAATAGCTTTTGATCTCTATTGAGTGAATAGTAGATTATCATCTACAATCTAGTTAGTGAGACAATAATGTCTGAACGAATTTTAAGCGACTCCAAAGTGATCTTGAGAAAATTCACTTAAATACTATAATCTAAAGAGTATTACAAGTTAATGTGAGAAATCAGTTGAGAGATTTGGAGCTAAAAGTTGAGGTGACGTATTAAACTTAGAGTATTCATCATCATCAAATGATGTCGACTATAATTTCAAAATGCTATTTAACCGTATAGAAGAATGAATTTCGCACCGAAATTCAAGACTTGCTATGTTAAATCTGATTGGTTCGTTCAGAAATTATAGTCTCGTCTGTTATATACAGATAAGCATAATGAATGGTCACTTTTGGGATCCATGTATGGGCCAATACTATACGTATATTTTTATCGTATAATTGTTAAATAACTAAACTGTTCATATTCATGTCCCTCTTATCATAAGCTTTATTTTGACCTATGAACTATTATTATACGATTTACCATTCTTGAATTATGCTCTGTCTATCAATTACTATCTCCCTTATTCACAACTACATTTGGCTAAATCTTGTACAAATGTTGTTTCCTATTTTATGGTACGATGTGGTCTGTCTGGTTGGTATATAAATCCAGTATGTTTGAAATAAATGATTCATATCGCAGAGAGTGAGATTGGTGTTCTGGACTTAACATGCTGAGCTAGGCGGGAAGCAGGATAGATAAGTACTCTAGACTGCTCGTACAGGTTTTCATGCGTCCTTAGTCCGATCGATAATTCACTGCTTTCTAATTGGCGGTATCATTACGTTATACAATAACAGGGCACACAGGCCAAGAGTTATAACATCATCTTGCCTACTCTTTTCTATCCGTCCCTATTAATGTTTTGTTCAGCTATATACAACAGGTAACAAGTAACCAGCTTTTTCACTAGGTATAACAAGTGGCTATATTGATGCTTTTTTACTACAGTTACGACGCTACTACAACACTACTTTTCTTCATAGATATTTCTAATTTGTGGGCAGAAGGCAAATATTATGTGAATAGATTGTTTATTTTTATTTATCTAAACACAAACATTTGTACAAGGGGGTACTAAAATATATATTAGCCAAACAAAATTTGTGTGGGCTGGGATACATCCTGCGTACCTCAACTAAAACAGATTATTTTCTTAGGTGCCCACTCTCTGAGCCTTTGGCCTAGAGGTTTATTCTACAAGAAAGTTGAGCAGTGTTAAGAAATGTTGTCCCATACTAGCCGGTGAACAGGAATGGGTTCCTACCTCCATTTGTTCCCTCAGGATCATATAGCACATTTGCACCATTGGTTTAGGATCAGGGTTAAACCATTCCCACTAATTCGGTTCAAGCCCCCACCAGACATTCGCATTTCGTCCTCTCAATTTTGTTAACAATACTCTCTTCATGAGAAAGCTTTAATTAAGACTTCCCTTGTATTGGGTATATACTCTTGATCGTACGAGAGCATTCCAGAAGAAGAGTGCCGGACTCTCCGGCTTCGGAAATGAAATAATTGAAAAATAATCCTTAGCTGGATTGATTACTTCAAATTGTAAGATAATGAAAATATTTAGAAATATTAAACTATTGTTTAGTACTTTGATTGAAATAATGAGTCAATTGAAGCTAGACTACCATGGAAAACCTGGAAGAACTGGACGACCTTTTCGTCCTGGTATGGGACTCCTCATCAGTGCGCATTCACGATCCCGCACCCCGCGAGATCCGAACCCAGGACCAATCAGTTTCGTGCCAGGCGCCTAACCAACTAGACCACTGAGTCGGCATCCAATGCTGTTAATGTCTAACCTCAACCAATCCACCAAAATGCGCGACCATCTTCCATTGTACTGAGGTAGACACCTGTTTCTACCAGACACGGATTAGCTCCACTGGTCACGGCTTCTCACTAGAACTCCGAGAATTTTCTCACGAAGCTAGTCACTAGTGAGCACATGGTACTGTAGTCCTGTACAACGTAAAATATTAAGGTAATTGATTACCCTGCCTGATTGTACTTAAATATCCTTACGCATAAGGAAAAAAATCTGTAAATGAGGTTAGTGATGTTTTTCATTGTTATATTTTTGTGAAATTCATCTCATCTGATGATGATCCGTAAGACACTGAAAAAATACACTGGTGAATAAATACATGTTTTAAGTGATTAGAGATAGTTAACAGGTAAATATAATTGATATAGATTTCGTTTTAGTTGAGACTGTTCAACAAAGCGTACCTGTAATTTTCAGAGAACTGATCTACAATTTAGGATTCAAACGCGTGACAGCTAGATTCACCCTAATAGCTCTTAGTGTTAACGTTTCACACTATGTGAACCTGAATGATACGAGTCTGAACCTCATAGGGGATATCAATTCACAGAAGATTACAAGTATACCATAATGATGAATACCAAATATCACAAAACCTAAGTCAAGAAAGTTTTCCTGTCGGCTATCACCGACCACTAACTTACATATCACAACATAGTGTAGACAATATCGAGATATTTAGACTGGTGATCGTATTATAACCTGATCAATAGAATTCGATCATCAGTACTAAATAATTCGACAAATATACCACTGATCATTGATCAGTAGTAACCAATTCATTCTACTTACCTCATTAACTATAGTTTGTGTAGATTTTTCAACTGAACATGTAATTGATTGAATTGTCATATCGACTGGTTCAGTCATTATTGAAATATTTTTCTTTATTGTTTGATGATGAGTTAATGTATCCATACATTGAATATTTACAATGGAATTATCATTAGCATTAATAAATTCCCATACTGGTAATAAATTTGAACAGTTTTTCTGTTTGAAGTTTGTAACTATTTGATTTCTTTTGATATGTTTCTATGATAAATGATGAAAGAAAACTGGTTGAATTGATTTCAAGTGAAACAAGCAAACAAACAAACAAACAAACAATGATGATAATACAATTTGAAGACAACATTGATTATTTTAACACCAACAACAACCTACCGTGTGAAAGAACAAACCAGATCCTAACAGAGGAAGAAATCAAGAAGAAGTACTGGAAGTGGATAGGACACACATTGAGGAAAGCACTCAACTACCTCACAAGGTAAGTCCTCACATGGAATCCTCAAGGCGAAAGGAGAAGAGGAAAACCAAAGAACAGACTACTCCGAGAAATGGAGACAGACAAAAGAAAGAAGAAGAACTGGACAGAATTAGAAAGGAGGGCCCACGACAGAATGGGTTGGAGAATACTGGTCGGCGGCCTATGCTCCATTGGGAGTAACAGGCGTAAGTAAGTAATTTTAAGACCAAGTAAGTAGTATATCAAATATTTGACAAAAAATACAACCAGTTTTCAGATAATTAAAATAACCCATAGTGTCATTGAATAAGAAAAAGAGAATTCAGCGAAGAAAATTTTCTTTTCGACGAAAATAAAATATTGATTCGAACCCCCTTCGATTCAGTTCCTTTGACTCTGTAAACTATCTTAAACGAAGAGTTTTTGGGAGCGATATGTCCACAGTTGATTAAGTGCTCCTGTACCGAACTAGTGATTGTTTTTCGTTCCCCTTTCAAGAGCCAGGCCGGATAATGTTCCGAGATACGTTTGGATAATGATCGCTTTGTGCGGCCTATGTAACATGCACCACATGAGCAAGTAAATTTATAGATACACATTGAAGTGGCCCAAAGAGAAAGTTTGTCCTTAACTGATAAGTCCTGTCGGATTGAACGCTATATTCGTCTCTTAAGCTATTCTGTATACCCAAGCTAGAACTACACAGCGACCTGAACATGAGACAGAAGACTCAAAGTATGCAAGAAGTAGTTTACCCAAAGGTTCATTTTAATACAGAAAACACAGGATTTTTATAATATTTTAAATGTCCTTGGGTTGCTATAAGATTCGGGAAATGCTACTAAACATAGTAGCAGTGTAGCAGCCAACCAATCAGAGCCTCTGCATGAGACGATTCACTTCCTTGATATTTTTGGCCAAGACTCCAAATGAACGCTGATTGGATGAAACGCTTCTTAGTGTTTTCTGATGCTCGCTTGTCTTTTGAAAGCAATTTTCTGGATCATCCCAACATTAACACACCCCAGTTGGGTTCCATTAAGTAGAAAAAGGAACTTAATTCATTCTTTATCCTCAAGGATTAGGCTAATTTGTTCCAATGACACAATAGATGGATACAAGATTATTATTATCATTATTATTATTAAAATGATCATAGGCATAAACATTACATTGACAACTATCAATTAAACTATTTACCTTGTTCGTTGATTTTACACTAAGTTCACTATGATTGTTTGTATTATGATTGTTTATTGATGTGATTTTTTGTTCATTATTTACAGTCTTTGACAAATCATAATTAGTTTTCATATCATTATCATTCAAGTGTTGATCACATTGATAATCATGATTAACACAGTGAGAAGATGATTGTTTTGTTAAGGTATTGACATTTTTATTTGATTGTTTCAATTGTTCCATTTGTTCAACTGAAAATAGTGAATTGAATAAAAAATGAAGTAAACATAAGAAGGATAATAAGCAAAGATGGATAGTGGCTAGCAGTGGAATCCAGGACATGCGGTTGGTCCTGTTTGGGACTTGTCAGCTGGATGTACCTGCGAACGGTACTGAGTTCGAGTCCCAGAGTGAACATCAACTCTGAGATGCAGGTACATCCAGCTGACGAGTCCCAAACAGGACGAAACGCGCGTCCTGGATTCCACTGTTAGTCACTATCCATCTTTGCTTAGAATGCTTGTAAATTAAGGCAATATCGAGGCGTACGCACAGTATGCACATATGTCAGTAAGAGACTGATCAATTTCAGTCCTAAAACATCAATGGGAAGATTCAAGTAAAACAATACCGAGTGAATAAGAAGGATAGTTTGAAGATAGTTAGGATAGACTTATTTTGTAATTCGTTCAATAATTCTCATAATTGACCTATTTACTGTCATTGACGGGGAAAATAGTTGTTTGAAAACGTATGAACTTGGATTTTCCCGTTTTTGTTTTGAATTCCCCCCACAGCATGAAACATTGATTACGGCTCACAAATATACTGTTACATAAGTCTCTTGTTTCCAATTACCTGTTGCCATGATAACAGAATTCTAATGTATTTACTATCTACGTTTACAGACCACAGTGATATTCTCATTATATGCTTCATTTGGATATATATCTCGAATTATAACAGTTGCAGTCGGAATTATTAACTATTATATAATTGTGGATTACTAGACTGAATGAAAGTCGAACAAGCCAATTCTTGACAGTTTAAGTGATGTCCAGTATATTTTTCTTGTGTGTATTACTTACTTACTTACTTACACCTGTTACTCCTCGTGAAGGAGCATAGGCCGCTCACCAGCATTCTCCATCCAACCCTGTCCTGGGCAATCCTTTCCAGCTCCTTCCAGTTGTAATTCATCCTTTTCATATCTGCTTCTATTATCCGACGTAATGTGTTCTTTGGCCTTCCTCTTTTCCGCTTCCCTTCAGGATTCCAAGTTAGAGCTTGCCACGTGATGCAGTTTGACGATTTGCGTAATGTATGTCCTATTCATTTCCATCGTCTTTTCCTAATTTCCTCTTCAGCTGGAAGTTGGTTTGTTCTCTCCCACAGAAGGCCATTGCTGATGGTATCCGGCCAATGGATGTTGAGTATCTTGCGTAGACAGCTATTTATAAATACTTGTACTTTCTTGATTGTGGTTGTTGTAGTTCTCCAAGTTTCAGCTCCATACAGTAGAATTGCCTTGACGTTCGTATTGAAGATTCTCACTTTGATATTGGTTGAAAGTTCTTTTGAGTTCCATATATTCTTCAATTGTAGGAATGCGGCCCTTGCTTTACCAATCCTCGCCTTTACGTCTGCATCTGAACCTCCTTGTCTATTGACGATGCTTCCCAGATATGTGAAGGATTCTACATCTTCCAGAGTTTCGCCATCAAGGGTGATTGGATTGCTGTTCTCCGCTTTGAATGTGAGGACCTTGGTTTTCCCTTTGTGTATACTGAGGCCTACTGATGCAGAGACTGCTGCTACACTGGCTGTTTTCATCTGCATCTGTTCGTGTGTACGTGATAGGAGGGCTAGGTCATCCGCGAAGTCCAAATCGTCTAATTGATTCTGAGCTGTCCATTGTATTCCGTGTTTTCCTTCAGATGTTGAGGTCTTCATAATCCAGTCGACCACCAGAAGAAAGAGGAAGGGAGAGAGTAAACAGCCTTGTCTGACTCTGGTCCTTACTTGGAATGCATCTGTCAGCTGTCCTCCATGCACTACTTTGCACTGTAGTCCGTCGTATGAGTTCCGGATAATATTGACAATCTTCTCAGGAATTCCGTAGTGTCGAAGAAGTTTCCATAACGTCCTCCTGTCTACACTGTCGAATGCCTTTTCATAATCAATGAAGTTGATGTATAGTGATGAGTTCCACTCAACTGATTGTTCGACGATGATCCGTAGTGTTGCAATTTGGTCTGTGCACGACCGATCCTTACGGAATCCAGCTTGTTGATCTCGAAGTTGGGCGTCTACTGCATCTTTCATCCGGTTCAGCAACAATCTGTTGAAGACTTTCCCTGGTATTGACAGTAGTGTGATGCCTCTGTAGTTTTCACATTTGCTCAGATCTCCTTTCTTTGGAATCTTGATGAGGTGTCCTTCTTTCCAGTCCATTGGCACTTGTTCCTCCTCCCAAATCTTTTTGAATAGAGGGTAAAGCATGCTTGTGGTTACTTCGACGTCTGATTTCAGTGCTTCAGCTGGTATATGGTCGGGTCCTGCTGCTTTCCCGTTCTTGATTTGTCTGACGGCCATTCTAATTTCTTCCGTCGTTGGTGGGTTGACATCTATAGGAAGATCTGTGTGTGCTGCTTCGATGTTCGGTGGATTCATTGGAGCCTGGCTATTCAGGAGTTCCTCAAAGTATTCTACCCATCTGTTTCGCTGTTGTTGAATTTCAGTGATTGGCTTGCCTTCTTTGTCTTTGACCGGCCTCTCTGGTTTACTGTATTTCCCTGATAGTTTCTTCGTTGTATCGTAGAGCTGTTTCATATTTTCTTCTCTAGCAGCTTTTTCTGCCGTCGTTGCTAATTCTTCCACGCATTTCTTCCTGTCGGCTCTAATGCTCCTCTTCACTTGCTTGTTTGCTTCTATGTATTCAGCTTGTGCTTGGACTTTCTCTGCTCGTGTTCGGCTGTTGTTAATTGCTGTCTTCTTGTTCTTCCTTTCTTTGATCTTGTCCAGTGTTTCTATAGAGATCCATTCCTTATGATGGTGTTTCTTTAGGCCCAGAACCTCTTGACAAGTTGAAGTCAATGTTTCTTTGATGCTTTTCCAGTTGTCCTCCATGGTAGTTTCTTCTTCCTTCAGTAGATCTTGAAAGGCTTGGAACCTGTTGTTGAGAGCTATCTTGAATTCATTGAGTTTGTCAGTATCTCGAAGGAAGGCTGTATTGAACCTTTGTAGTGCTGTTTGTCCACTTGTCCAGTTCATTTTTAGCTTCAGTTTTAAATTGGCTACAACTAGGTGGTGATCTGAAGCTACGTCAGCTCCTCTCCTGGTTCTCACATCTTCCATTGTCCTTCGGAATTTTTTGTTGATGCAAATATGGTCTATCTGGTTCTCTGTAGTGTGGTCCGGTGAGATCCATGTAGCCTTGTGTATTCGTTTGTGTGGAAATATTGTGCCTCCTATGACTAATTTGTTGAATGCACACAAATTTGCAAATCTTTCTCCATTTTCGTTCCTCTCTCCCAGTCCATGTCGTCCCATAATATCTTCATATCCAGTGTTTTCTATTCCGACCTTGGCATTTAGATCTCCCATCAGAATGGTGAGGTCCTTTCTTGAACATTTCTCTATGATTGACTGCAGCCGCTCGTAGAATTGATCTTTAATGTCGTCGTTGCTATCATTGGTGGGTGCATAACATTGGATAATATTCATTAAGATCCCCTCCTTCTTTGTTTTGAATGATGCTTTGATGATTCTGGATCCGTGGGATTCCCATCCTACAAGTGCATTTCGTGCTACTTTGGACAGCATTAGAGCAACTCCCTGAGTGTGTGGAGCATTTTCCTCTTCGTGACCGGAGTATAGCAGCATCTCTCCCGTAGCTAGCCTTTTCTGTTCAGCTTGGATCCAGTGGGTTTCGCTGATTCCCAGTACTGCCAAGTTGTATCTCCTCATTTCCGTTGGTATTTGGCTGGTCTTCCCGGTTTCCCACATTGTTCGAGCGTTCCATGTACCTATAAAAATTTTTGCTCTGGTTGTTAGAAGGGGCATCGGCCTCGTGGCTTCCGAAGGAACTCGGCTTTCACCATGAAGCGTCATAATTCTTCTAAATGAAGACCTTCTAACTCTCAGGGCAGAGTTAAAATGGTTTGAATTATTTTTTCTGGTAAGCGTTTTTTTAGCGAGTTAGTTTTCTACGGGATGGGGACGCTAACCCCATGCCCAACCCTCCTCCTTTACCTGGGCTTGGGACCGGCAGTAACTCTAGAAGAGCTACAGGCGGAGTTTCTTGTGTGTATAGATTATATTTAATATATTATATATATTAATTTCTGGACACAATAACTTTATTTTCGGAATTGCTATATCCTGGGTCCACCACAATAAATTCACTTGGTATTGTTTTACTTTAATCTTCCCATTGATGTTTAGAACTACGATTGATCAGTCTCTAATTAGCATATGTGAATACTGTGCGCATTGTCTCAATATTGCCTTAATTCGCAAGCATTATAAGCAAACATGGATAGTGGCTAGCAGTGGAATGCAGCACGCGCGTTTCGATTTTAATCTCATAGTTTAAGGGAAGACAGAGAGTGTATACACCTACGCCATTGTGATCCATTCTGAGCCATGTCACCCAAAGTCTCCAGTCACTGGTTACGATAGTCACGCGAACAACGGTAGCAGCATTCCTTTATATACAGCTTTCGATTAAATTAAAGAATACTACCAAATTAATCAAGGTCGAGACTTATGTTTCAAGAGCATTAACAAGCTAACTTTCATTCCATGTCTTGTATGGACAGAATGCTTAATTTTGAACGACTGGTAAGCAATTTTAAAGAGGGTAACATGGCTGAACATCTGCGAAATGTTGATTAACTTTGAAGAGTAACTTTTCTGCCGTATACAAAGGTTTGAGAGGAAACATTATTTTCAGCCATATAGATGAATTTTTCCCTAGATCATTCTTTGATTTCAAAACAGAGAACATGGTCAAATTCACTAGTCACATAAAAAAACTGTACATACATTCTGATGTTTCTCATTTTGCACTATAAACCATACCTTCACAACAGGTATTTTCTAAAGATAAGTGGCTTGCAGTAGAACCCAGGACGCGCGTTTCGTCCTATTTGGGACTCGTCAGTTAGGTATTTTATAATTCGTTAAACGTTTTACTAGTTTCTCAAAGTTATTTAAGAGTCATTCAACTTCTGTAGTAACTTGTTTTTCTCTAATTTAATCATATAATTTAAATCTTAACAGTCAGTTATACTGTATGAAACGAGACTTTGGTTGGGAGGACGATAACAAAATATGGGAAACATACATTAAAAACTTCATTTTGCAAATCTTCCATTAATTATCCTTCACATTCTGTATGATTCTTCCAATTCCCAAATCCTTACTCTTTTCTCATTTTGTTTGCTTCAATTCGAAATTCTTAACGTTCTGTTGTCATGCATTCGATATTCGATCGGTGTTACATACTACTTATGTCGACAGATATAAGTAGCATATATCGCAGTACTACAACACCGATAATAGGATATTGCGTAAAAATGGTAAAATTTTTGTAACCACATACAAAGTCATGCAGTACATTAGAACAAAACTCTTACCATCATTCATTATAGTTGGATTAATTTCAATTAATGTCTCCATGGATTGATTATTTTCACATTTAGGCATACATTGTTCTTTTTTGAAATTACACCGTAATTGACTCAATTCATTTTCTAAATGTTCCAGTTTTGTTTTATAGAATGTCTAGTTTAAATATAGAATATCAGTTGAAGAAAAATGTTGAAAATAGGAAAGAACAAACATGTTAGTCAGTTATATTTAACATATTACCTGGTACAGATGTTTACTTACTTACTTACGCCTGTTACTCCCAATGGAACATAGGCGACCAACCAGCATTCTCCAACCCACTCTGTTCTCGGCCTTTCTTTCTAGTTCTATCCCATTCTTGTTCATTTTACTCATGTCTATCTCCATTTCCCAGCGTAATGTGTTCTTTGGTCTTCATCTTCTCCTTTGACCTTCAGGATTCCATGTGAGGGCTTGCTTCGTGACGCAGTTAGGTGATTTCCTCAATGTGTGTCCTATGTACTTCCAGCACTTCTTCCTCCGCTAGGATCTGGTTTGCTCTCTCCCACAGTAGGTTGTTACTGATAGTGTCTGTGTTATGATCGGGTCGTTGCAATTGTTGTGCCGGAAAAGAGCCGCTGATCACTTATACTCGGAACGAGGGACCCCTGCAATTCCCACGATGCGAAAGTAAGAACACAAGACTGGTATAAGTGATGATTTATTAGCCCCAAAACACGACGACGAACGATGATCAAAATAGTCTGAAATACACTCATTTATATATTGATTGTACATCCATTTTGATTAATAATTAGGATGACATCACACACTCAGTTATAACAAATCACTTACTGAGCCTAGTTCATGTCAATGGAATACAAGAATATCGTATATTATACAGAAGAAAATATCATACTGGGAAAACAAATCAAATACTACACTGAATGATCCTCACGTTGATTCAAAAAGGATGTTGAATGTTGAACAAAACTCATAATGAGTAATGTAATCGAAAATTGACTTTTACTTCCATCATATCAGTCTGACCAACGGATCCGTAGTATTTTGTGTAGACATCTGTTAATGAACACTTTTATCTTCTAAATGATGGCTTTCGTAGTTCTCCAGGTTTCCGCCTCATACAGTAGAACTGTGTTGACATTTGTATTGAAAATTCTGACCTTGGTGTTGATTGACAATTGTTTTGAGTTCCAGATGTTTTTCATTTGTAGAGAAGCTGCTCTTGCTTTGCCAATTTGCGCCTTCATGAATCGGTACAGATGTATGTTAACTTAATTTGACATATTACATATTATTAAGAGTACAGATGAAATGAACAAGATCAATAGAAAACGAATCGAATTCATATAACACTAATAATGTGGTTCGAGATGGTATTTATAAGGAAATAATGAAAAAAAAGGATGTAGATGTTAGACAAAGAGTGAATGCGTTTAAAGCATTGTGAATGATTTTAAAGTATATCACAAAATCTCTTCAATCGAAGATCACAATGATCACTCGGACCTCATCTAGGTAGTGTAAATGTATCTACTTAACTCATACTAAAAGTTTATGAACTAATAAACTGATACAGGTCTCGGTTTGACCGATCCATGCTCTATTGTAACCTAATTCAATGCCATTTGAAATCGTCCCATAGAAAAAAGCGATTATATTCTAAAATGTGAATCAATAAGTATCGAGTATTTTCTAGTTGAACTGATATAATGAGAAAAGTCCAATGAAACTACTGCTACATACTAATGACTTCAGGTTGAGGGGTTATGGATGTACACTGTGAAAGCGTTCCATTCCTTAAGAGTCCCATATTAGGATGAAACAGATGATCAGTGTCTCCTGGTTTTCAGTGGCTGTCTAACTTAAGATCAGTCTATGATTAAGACTGATCTATTTAAACCGAAATCAGGTTCAACCGTAAAAATATTTATGAATTAATAGATAGAAATTTTATCATAATGTTATTAAACAGTCATTTATTAAGTTATGGATTAAAGCCCTTTTAAAATTGGTTCATTTATTCGAAATTTCGGATGGTTAGATGGTAGATCTATATGAAGCAAACACTCAGTCACATGTCACCACCCATTCACTGATCACCACTCTTCAGTCTACAGTCACTCTGAGGACCGACCGTGTAGCCCACTCCTGGTGAATCAAAGAGGATGGAGAGTGAGTGAACTCCGTGGCATCAGCCACCACACCGAGTAGTTGCGATGACAGGTAGTGTACATTTGGGAGGTGAGAATGGAGTGTGGAAAACATGGAACGCTTCACGATTTTGCGTGTCATCCTTGAGCAGGGGCCATGCTAATCTTCTCTGTATCGTTCCAATTTTAGTATATGCACCGCCCAACCGAGTAGATCTATATCTATACAAAATTACTATGTAGATTGTTTAGTCATTAGGATGAAGTAGTTGTCCGATACGATATGGTTTTCAGCAGTTCCTCACTAGCTGATGTTGCTAGTAGGTGGTGAAGAAGTATCTTTATCAAAAACAAGGATTCGTTTACGAATAACAATGAAAAGTTATTAACTGCGAAACACCACTACCCTACACAGAAAATTTCATGTCAATTTTTCCCTTTGGAAATTTCATATACATATACTATCAAGTATACACATAGCCTTTGGGATATAAAACCGATTTGTTTGTATGTTGTACATTCACTTTCTTATTACTGCTCTCGTGATCAAGTATAATGATGATAAGAGTTCGAGTTCGCTAGTTGGTCGGTTCTTTTTATGCCTTTCAGATCGATCGCCTTTCCTTGATCAATAACACATTGATCGTGATACTGACTGAAAATTCCTGGTTCTAAATAGTCCACAAGCTCCTTATATCCCCAGGTAGATAGATAGAAAATATATTTCACTTTTTATCATTACTAATACATACAGGGTGAACGACATTGAGTTACCTGTTGTCCAGACACACAATGACTTAGGAATCATCGTTAGCCATTGCCGTGCGATAGCCGCTAAAGGTTTTAGACGGCAATGGTCAATATGTAGAGACTTTAATCGTGTCGATGCTAAAACCTTTTTACTTCGTATACAGTATTCGTCCGACCTAGACTCGAGTACTGCATACAAACAGCTAGCCCCTATCTAGAAAGAGACACTGAGATGTTGAAAAAGGCTCAAAGAACCGCAACTAAGCAGATTACTGAAAGAGCGAAGCTCGCTTATGATGCTCGATTGGCTAAACTAAACCTATTTCCATTGTCATATCTAAGAACCAGAGACGACTTGATCATGGTTTTTAAATCACTTAGTGATAAACCTATATCTGATATGTTCTTACTTTTCTTGTTTTCCAAAATAGTGAATTTACGGGGACATTCCAAAAACGTTCGCAAGCCCAAAACAAATTACTTGCCAGCTGACTATCGATTTTCCAATCGAATCATCAACGAACCTGATTGAGGTTCCATCCGTCGACTCATTCAAGAGAAAGTTGGATCAACTTAGAGACCAACACTGCCAAGACTAACACAGGCCACCTAGCCTCATATCTTTCCAAACAGAAACTGAAACAATCAGGTTCACAAGAAAACTCATACACATTTATTATCCGGCTTAATCGCAATGTCTATATAACTAAATCAAAAGTCATACAAAACTGAATAATAAGTCCATAATTAATTAACCACAATTTAGAGACGGTGAGACATATGACAACAGCTATTCATGGATGGAAGATTACATTAAGTACACAGTAAAAATATACATGATAATTCTTCATAAAACAGTCCGGAAAGTTTCATCCCCTTCTCAAATATCCAAGCTTCTATATAAGAATTTTGTATTAAGGCCGGTATTTTCAAGATATCTCATCTAAGAATTTAAATTGATTGCTGGTCATGTGCATGTATTGAATAAATCCATTCATTCTTCTTATTTAGCGTTAAATATCTGAGTCCATTGAATACAAAATTATACTTTCATAACGAGTATTATTTTATAGTTTAGCATTCTGAATGATACTTTTGGTTATGTACAGTTAAGTCAAGCTAATGGATCATCTTAGTCAAAAGTAAAGGAATTTAATTCTAAAGACTTAACCATCATCACAGTTAGACACATTTTGCTTTAGATTAGGAAAACTCGAAAAACAAGCAAATCAAACTATATCATTGAAATCACGAACTGATCTAGGTTAGACAAACATTAAGAATCTAGAAGCACTGTAAAACTGTTTCATCGTAGTTTGAGACGTCACTACGAACACCAACGCTTAACCTCTAGACAATTAAGGCAAAATCTGATGATGGATAAGTCTAACTTCAATTAGTCAGAGATATTTCTCGCCGATCTTTCATTTCTTCGATGGATACTTTCCTCAAACTCTACATGGTATAGTTCCACTGGTCACGTCATCTCATTAGAAGTTAAACTTGTGTACCATTGTATATCAGCTCAATGGTCTAAAAGCTATTCCCTGTTTCAAAGTAATAGATGTATACTTTTGAGGCATCCCATACTGTGACTAAACATCTATCTAATACTTTCAAATTTTGAATGATTGTCTAATTTAGATCAATTCTTGATTTGAATCCATTTCAACAATCTCTACAATTGGATACTGAAATTTAAACGATAACACTACTACTACTACTACTACTACTACCACTTACAATGAATTGATCTGTATTTGATGATGAACATACTTTTTGTTCTACATTGAATGAACATGCCTCAGAATTTAGAAACTGATTCGATTTCAACCTGTTATCTTGTTGAATATCATTATTCTTTATAGATTGTTCTTTTAATTTAGAATCCATTTGATTTAATGCTTCTTGAGCTTCAGCTAATTTCATAATTAATTGATTTAATTTATAACGATCTTCAAGGCATAAATCTTGTAAACGACATAAATTTGGTTTTGAAATGAATCGTTTTGTTGATTGAACTTTATTTGATTTTTGTTTGAATTGGTTCAAATTCTGGAAAAAAAAGGAATGATTGAACATGTAGATGAAGAAATACTTCTTTATAGATCAGTGGAGTTTGAACATGTTTGAAGTGAAATATGGCGTCATCAATGAAATGGAATAACTGTTGTATTATATAATGAATTGATTATTATTGAAAATATGTATCATTGAACATGTTATGTCTAGAAGTCGTCGAATTCAGACATAAATACCCATACAACAAAGAAATTTACCGGACCAGTTATGTAAGTTAGAAAGCTAGGATAAGGTGATGGTTGATTGCAGTCAATAAAAAGCCCTGGACAAAGATTTAGTGCTACTATGCACTCGTCAGCAAGGTGTACCTGGAATCTTGAGAGAACTGATGCTCCCTGACGAATTCGATCCCGCGTCACCCAGCTTCACAGTCAGAGACGTTACTATCAAGCTATCCGGGCCGCGACTGATATCCTGTAGGACTGAGATGTATTTACAATTGATCGATCACTGGGTAGTGATCAATGTCATGTATGTGTTTGAAGTGAACGGTACTGGGTTCGATTCACAGAGTGAAGAACAACTTTGAGATGTAGGTACCATCGAGCTGACAAGTCCGAAATACGACGAAATGCGAGTTGTAGTTTCCATAGCTAGCCACTATCCATCTATGTTTAAAAAGCTTTCGAATTCAATCAATATCAATCAAGCAATCCGCACAGGATGCTTACTTACTTACTTACTTACGCCTGTTACTCCCAATGGAGCATAGGCCGCTGACCAGCATTCTCCAACCCACTCTGTCTTGGGCCTTCTTTTCTAGTTCTATCCAATTCTTGTTCATTTTTCTCATGTCTATCTCCATTTCCCGGCGTAATGTGTTCTTTGGTCTTCCTCTTTTCCTTTGACCTTCAGGATTCCATGTGAGGGCTTTTCTTGTGACGCAGTTGAGTGCTTTCCTCAATGTGTGTCCTATATACTTCCAGCTCTTCTTCCTGATTTCTTCCTCCGCTGGGATCTGGTTTGTTCTCTCCCACAGTAGGCTGTTGCTAATAGTGTCCGGCTAATGGATCTGGAGTATTTTGCGTAGACAATTGTTAATAAACACCTGTATCTTCTGGATGATGGCTTTCGTAGTTCTCCAGGTTTCTGCCCCATACAGTAGAACTGTGTTGACATTTGTATTGAAAATCCTGACCTTGGTGTTGGTTGACAGTTGTTTTGAGTTCCAGATGTTCCTCAGTTGTAAATATGCTGCTCTTGCTTTGCCGATCCGCGCCTTCACATCTGCATCAGATCCACCCTGTTCATCAATGATGCTGCCTAAATACGTAAAGGTTTTTTACATCTTCGAAATCTTCTCCGTCAATTGTGATTGGATTGGTGCATTCTGTGTTGTTTCGGAGAATACTGCTTTTCCCCTTGTGTATATTGAGACCTATTGCACACATACTAATAAGAGATTGATTAATTACAGTCTTCAATAACAATAACAAGATACAAGTAAAACAACATTAAGTATAAATTAAAACTGATTAGATTAATTAAATTTAATTACTTTATCATTTGTTTGTTTCAACTTTGATTTAATTACTGATTTAGAATTATTATTGATTAAATTCAAATTGTTTAATGAATGGACAGTTTTCTCTGGAATATTCATTGATTTTATTGATTGATTAACATGTTGATCATTGGTATTATTCAAGTAATTCATTATCTGAAAAGATAATAGAATAGAAGAACAATCTGGAACAGTTTATCGATATTTGGTTACCAATAGACTTGAATTGATGATTCAATAGTGTTTAGTTTAATTATCAAGCTAAATTGAATACAATACAAGTATATCATTCAGTTCAGTAATTACTCTTTGATAAAACTAATTCAACTATTAGTAATCCATAGTTAAAACAAATACAATATGCAGAACACCAACTCAATCACAATTGATGGTGGAACTCTGGAAGATGTGAAATCTTTCATGTAACTGGGAAGCATCATTGATGAACAAGGAGGATTAGATACAGATGTAAAGGTGAGGATTGACAAAACAACGGCCGCATTCCTACAATTGAAGAAAATATGGAACTCAAAACAACTGTCTATCAACCAACATTAAAGTCAGAATCATTAATACGAACGTCAAGATAGTTCTACAGTACGAAGTTGAAACTTGGAGAACTAATACAACCATCATCTCAAAGGTACAAGTATTTATAAATAGTTGGCTATGTAACATACTCAAAATCCATTGGCCGGATACCATCAACAACAGCCTACTGTGGGAGAGAACAAACCAGATTCCAACTGAAGAGGAAACTAGGAAAAGATGATGGAAATAGATAGGATATACATTACGAAAATCACCAAACTGTATCACAAGGCAAGCCCTAACTTGGAATCCTGAAGGGAAACGGAAAAGAGGAAGGTTAAAGAACACACTACGTCAAAAAATGGAAGCAGATATGAGAAGGATGAATAACAACTGGAAGGAGCTGGAAAGGATTGCCCAGGACAGGGTTGGATGGAGAATGCTGGTGAGCGGCCTATGCTTCTTCACGAGGAGTAACAGGCGTAATTAAGTAAGTATTTAAAACAAAATGAAATCCAGTTTTTCCCCGTTGTTAATGTTATGATTTAGAGTTGGTCAATCTTTTTCTTAGCAAACTTAAAGCATTTTCCTTTTTGAAATTAAGAAATAAATTGTAGCGTAATTGGACTGTAGCTAGGGATGCAACGCATAACACATGTTTTGCTCTATTTAATGTCTATCAGTTGAGTGTTGTTCACATCGAAACAAGAGGCCAGTATGCATTATATACTGACAAATTACAAACCTTGGTTTATACCTTCATACCAGATGAATAATTGAATAAATATTCGCGCTTAGTAGCTCAGTGGATAGTGTTGGGTGTAAGAAAAGAAAATTAATAATTTCAAGTCCTAATGTGAACAATACTAATGGAATACAAGTATATCCAGGTGGTCAGTCTCAGGATAAACTGAGCATACTGTATCTCATTGTGACACACAAACCAACTATACTATATAACTTCAATTTAAATGTATACACTCTATTATCAGAAGGGGTTTGTGGAGATTTTACAAATTCCACAGATTGAAATCATGAGTCAATTGGAGCTAGACTACCATGGGAAACCTGGAAGCACGGGATGGACGTTTCGTCCTACTGTGGGACTCCTCAGCAGGGCGCACCCACGACCCCCCACCCCGCGAGATCCGAACCCGGGACCTACCAGTCTCGCGCCAAGCGCTTAACCAATTAGACCACTGAGCCGGCATCCAATGGTGTTAATGTCTAACTTCAACCAGTCCACGAAGTTGCGCTACCGTATACCATTCTCTTCAGTGAGTTGATATCTCACAATAGACCTGGTTGAACTCCAGTGCTTCCAGGTTTTTCATGGTGGTCTAGCTTCAATTGACTCATGATTTCAATCTGTGGTATACACTCTATATTTTATAATTTGAAGCAATTTTTGTACATTTAACTTCTTCAAGTCCCACGAATGATGATGTTACTGTTGAGCCTTCAAAATGACATAAATAATTACATATCATGAGAAGGAATATGATCAAGGAATAGATACAAAGAAAAACTAATCCATTAATTAGCGCCAACACGAAACTAAGGTTCAGAGTTTCTTGATAATACCTGTAACCACATAACATCTGAAAATAATGCACATTATCTCGAATCATTTGGACTAGTAGTTACACTTCAGTTTAATAGATAGTGTTTGGTTATTATTATTATTTTTATTTCAACACATAGATAATGGTACAAAGAGGCACCGAATACATATGCGCCACACAAATCTCATTCGATATATGTGAGGACTGTGATACTGCCTGGGTGCCCAAACCGAAGCAGGTGGTTTTCTTAGGGGGCCACTTCTCGAGCCTTCGACCTGAACGTCTGATCCACAAGGCAATGGAGCATCGTGAGGAGATGCAGTCCCATGGAAGCCGGTGACCAACAATCGGTTCATACGCCATTTGTTCCCGCAGGATACTGGAGCCCATGTGCACCATTGGTTTGTGATCCGGTTAAAGTGCCGAACGTTCACTTTTCGTCCTCTCATTTTCGTAAGCAACACCGCCGCCACGAGAAGGCAGTGAGTAGGACTTCCCTGGCAGAGGCTATATACGCGTGGCCATGTGAGAGCGTTTCGAGAGGGAGAGCGGACTCTCACCACTCTCGGCCGTACCAGGGCATTTAGGGGCAGTGTTTGGTTAACCAATAGAAGGGACCAGAATAACATAACAGGAATAGATCTTTAGTGTGGTGGGGGGTTGATGGGTGCGAACCAGTGAGGGGTCTTAAACTGGGACGAAACAGTCACACTGTGCTTTCATGTTTTTAGTGATTTTTTAAATTAAGATAATTGCATCCTGTTAAATATCTGAATAAGTGAAATTTAGTGTATAAAAGTCACACAATGACCATCCTATCAAACAAATTAAATTCCGAAAAACAATGGCAAAACTGATTAGCAAGTTTGTTAGTTTTGTGCTTCAGAAATAATTTTATAGCGTTTTCCTAATTCAATCTAATACAAATCATCATAAAGCAACAAGCTTGTGGTCAGTGACTGAGCCCATGCTACACATGATTCCAAGCAAGCTACCAGAAACTTCTAGATTAGCCCCAACACAAATGAAAGGTAAAAGAAAACTAAGATAATCAGGAAAATAATATGGAACTCACCAAGCTGGATAATAAAACAATACTATGAGGGTAGGTTTATGGTGAGAATAAACTGTTTTTGAATGCATAAATGATATGTCTTGTCATTTAATGCTACTTTTTGTATCTGGTCGTCGTCGTGTTTTGGGGGTCAAAAAATCTTTACTTATACCAGTTTTTGTTTTCTTACTTTCGCGTCGTGGGGATTGCAGAGATCGCTCATTTCGAGAATGAGTGATAAGAGTTTCCAACATAACAATCAGCGGCGATAAGAGATAACAAGTGACATTCAACCAACAAGACATATCGCTGAAGGACAAACCAGTACCCTGATTATCTTCGTTGTTGTCTAGTTCAATATAAAAAGGGCTTGATATGACGTCTATTTAATAGGATTGAATGTATTTGTAAAAACGAAGCTATTAACGAAGAAGTAAAGTTGTTGAATAAAACATTACTGGGAAGTGGTTATCTTCTAAAATTCATAAATCGATGGAAAAGCGACAATATGGTGAGACCTAATACATTTTTGGCATAGAAAAGGCCTTTCCACATTACCCTACCGCTAAGAGGTGAGTCAAGTAGCCTTTTATTGAAACAAAGGCTTAAATCGGTTACTAGCCAAACATACTACGCATGGGAAAAACAAGGCCCACGTTTCGCCAAAAACCTAGAAGGTACGAAAACGATTGGGTCACAACCCAATGTTTACCAATTTAAATGTGTGCGTGATTTGAAAATTAGGGTGTCTAAACGTGTATCTAAATGGTGGCAGCAAACTGAGACCTAGGACTTACCCACAGCGCTGCTGGGTAATAGGGGCATATATGGAGGAGATCGGACTAATCGACGATTCCGTTGTAAACCGAATTTCCTTTTCAAGGCTCCCTGATATGCATGCTTATGTCCATGAATTGCATAAGTTTTGGCATGTGCGGTTTATCTATGTAGGTACATGTAAGGGGTACGCGCGTGAGTTGACACAAGGAACATAAGCTCAAAAATTTCTGCCCTATGTTTAATAAAATCAGCGTCGCAACCCTTTAATTAGAAGACATAATAAAAAAATATGGTAGTAAATACTAGGGCGAGGTGACCATCAATATCTCCAAAAAGAGTGGTCATGCTTATGTATGTCATGCAGTAGCAGTGATATGAATGCAATATGTGAGTCAGCTGTAGCAAATGAGTTCAAAGTGAACAGTGACCATCTGCTCTCCCAGGTGAGTGAATGTGTTGTGTCTTAGCTTCGTTAATCAATCACATTGATAACTGTTATTACATAAATCCCAACGGTGTTGCAAATCAAAAGGCAATAAAACGCGGCGACAACAGTTTATTAGCGGATAGTACAGATAACAAAGTTATAGACACATAGAACGAGTTAGTAGAAGAGAGGAGAATGTGTGTATGCGAGCGAATACCGAGGGGAATTTATAATCAAATCAAATGTAGGCGCAGCTAAGCGAGGTAAAGTCTAATAATAAGATTCGAGAATGACCCATCAAGTGATATTTAGGCGATTAACATTTTAGCTAGAGAGAGATATTTGCGTAGGCTATCACATGTGTTCAAGAGTACACGTATACGGACAAGATAGTGATCATAATAGTACAAAAAAATAGACAAGTCGCTACTGCTAGAACAACATTGTTAAGTTAATAAAAAGGCTTAACAAAAGTTAACCATAATCGAAATTGATTGTAAGAGAGTTGCTATAAATATACCTATATTTATGCTGTGGGAAGCATGAGTGAAAACTAGTGTTACTGGTGTGCATATTACGGTCCTCACAGGGTAAGATATATATATATATATATGCCAGGAGACGCATAGTTGAAAACTTGTGTATTGCCGGCATGTATGTAGATCATACTTGCCCTTGGTGAGACCTACGCACACCAAGTGATGGGATTAACGAAGTCCCCATAAAGTCTCATCCACACTGTGGGTTTGTGAGCCTTGAAAAACGGAAACCACTTCCCCCAAAAAACCAATCAGTTTCAC